AGGGAGGAGGCGGACGGAGCTGTGCGGGAGGAACAGCCTGCGGGACGCCGCGCGCCAGCCTCCCCGACCGCGGCCGGACCCCGGCGCTGCCCGCGGACACGCAGCCTCCGCGCCCTCTAGGGGAGGGCAGCGTCAGTGCGGCTTCTGGGCGACCCTGCCGGGCACCCCCAGATCGGAGGGCGCAGAACCCAGGGGGGACCCCGGAGTCCTCAGGGCCCGCCCCCAGGAGACGTCGCTCCCAAGAAGCTAGGGAGGGGGGCTTGTGGTCCCGTTTGGGGTGCCCTGCTGAAGTGGGATTCTAGGGGTCACCCACACATGTGGTCCGGATTCGGGGGTGGAGGGAGGAGTGGGGCGAGCGGTGGGAAGCACCGTGGCAGCCTCCCACCCCGTGACCTCGTCGTCGGCATCGGGGTGGGGCGGAGTCCCGCGGCGGCGGACTGGGCTCCGGAAGTGTCCACGGCCGGGCTCGGCGCAGACCACAGGGAACTTGGGGGGAGCCCGAGGCGTTCCCGCCGCCACCCCGGCCTCCGCAGCGCCGGGCCTCGCTGCGCTCCGGCTGGGCCCTGCCGGCCGCCATGGCGCTGCCGCAGGATCCCCGAGCCCCCGCTGCGGCCCGAGCCCGGCCCCGCGGGGACGCGCTCCCCCAGGTGTCCGGCGGGGCCCGCCGCGCTCCCGCCCCTGGGGATCGATCGGGCGGCGGGCGACGCGCGCCCGCGGCTCCCGCGGCTCCCGCGCCTCGGCCCCCTCCCCCGCTCGGGCTGCGCGGGACGCGGCCTCCCAGCCGCCCGGCGCTTCCCGACCGCGGCCAGCTCGGGCTCCCGGCCAGCGGGGGCGGCGGGCACGCACCAGGCCCTTCTGCCCCGGAGTCTGGGGAGAAGGGGACGAGGGCGCGCCCCGGCGGGCCCCCCTTTCTTCTCGCATCCACCCCCACCCCGCCAAACACCCTCCAGGGCGCGCGTTTAACCCTCGGCGCGCCGCGAGGGGGACGCGGAGGGGGCTGGGGGGGCGTCGCGCTCGGGCTGGGACCCACGCCGGGGTCCTCCGAGCGGTTTCCCTCTCATCCCCGGGCCTGCAGCAGCAGCTCTCGGTCGCAAACAGAAAGAAAGAGATCTGCCCTGTGTGTGGGCCCCGCTGGGTTTGGGGGTGGGGGGGCGGGGGGCGCTACGGGGACACCGGGAGCAGAGCGCAGGGGCGGGCGTGAAGGGGCGAACCCCGCAGGCCCGAGGGAGCCGCGGGGGAGACCTTGGGCAAACGAAACCCAAATAAAAAACACACAGTTGGCCGCGGCGGTGTGAGCGCGCGGCGACGGCGGCGGCGGCTGGCGGTGCAAGCGGCTCCAAAGATCATACTTGAAATATGGATCCCGAGGGCGCCCAGCTCCAGGCCGGCGGAGCCTGGCGACGGAGCGCGGGGCGGGGGCCGGGTGGGCTCCGCCGGGCGCGCCTGGCGACGCGGTCCGGACGGTGGGAGGGGGCGGGCCGGCCGGCAGCGAGCGAGGCTGCCCGGGCGGCCCCGGCGCGGCGACCCCGGCGTGCCGCAATGCGGAGGCGCGGCCCTGCGCGGGGCCCCGAGGGCTGCCCGGGCCCTGCCAAAGGGCCACGGCGTCGCGGCGCTCCCGGCCCACCTGGGGATCCGCGCAGGAGGGAGCGAGGGGGTGTGTCGGGGACGTGGCCGCCCGAGTAAAAACTGCCCTTGGCGAGTCGTGTGACAAAGAACAGAAACATGGGCGTGGGGACACTGCGGCGGGCGGTGGAGGGGCCGCCGTGCAGGGCTCCCGCACCAGCCCCCTCCAACACACGCGCGCGCGCGCACCCGTGCGCAGTCCCACCAGGTCGGCCCGCAAGCCCACGGGAAACGCAGCGTCGCAAGCCCCGGGCAGCGGGCATCGGCAGCCCCCTCCCCTCCCCGCTGCCCACACCAGAGAAGAGCCCGCCGGAGCGCAGGCGGCCGGGGTCGGCCACCGAGGTGCCCGGGGCTCTGCTCCTCGCGGCCCCGGCGGCTCCACTAGGCAGCGACCAGCCCTGGCTCCATGGCCACGAGCGGCAGGGACCGGTCGGGGGTGTGCATCCTGGGGGAGAAGTGCCTCTCCCGGGAACCACCGTAACACCACGCGTGACAAAGCTGCTGGCTTTTCCACGGTCCCTTCCCTCAGCCCCGTCCCTTCCCCAAACGAGCCTTGGCTGGTCGCAGCCGCAGGGCCGCTCCTCTCTTGGGGCCCCTGAGGGCCCTTGGGGCCACACAGTGGGCGAGACCCCCGGAGGGCTCCCGCCTTCCAGCGGGGCAGAGGGCTGACCCTGCCCAGTGTGTAAGGGGGCGCCGCTCTCAGCGTCCCCGTGGGGGCTCTGGGTGTCCCTGGTCCGGGGCAGGGGCCCCAGTCAGAGATTCTGGGAACCCGGGGTTCAGGGCCACCCTCTCCTGCTGTCCCTTAGAGGGCTCAGCATGAGGGAGTGGGGTGACGGGGAAGGCCGGGGAGGCAGCTTCTGGGGAAGGGACTGATGGGTGCCTGGAGGGGGGAGGCATCCAGGGACACCCACGTCCCGCGTCGGGAGGGAGCCGAGGCCATCCTGCCTCTTCCCTGCGGCCCCTTCGAGCTTCCAGAGACCTGGGCTCCCTCCCCGCGCCTCCCAGCACCCAGACTGGGTGAGGGCTGGTCGGGGTGGTGGGGTGCTGCCCACCCTCCCCGCAGAGAGGCAGAAGAGAGTTCGCGGCTGGGCTCCCTGGGGGTCGGACCTTTCGGAAGGTCCGCAGGGCAGCGGCCTCTTTCGAATTCCTCCTGCCTCCATCCAGGCACCTCCAGAAGAGTTCGGCCGCGCTCCCCTTCCACCTCAGCTCAGCGACAAGCCCAGCCCGGCTCCGGCGCCACCTCGCCGTCGGGGCAGCGGCTCCCAGCGCGCGTCCCCCAGGATCCGGAGCTTGGGCACCCCAGGAGCCTGGCCCGGGCGAGCTCAGCCGTGGCCAGCGCAGTCCGACGCCCCTGGCGGCGGGGAGGCTACAGCGACGCCGGCACGCCCCGGGCGCCCCCCGACCTGGACGCCGCGGGATCACCCAGGGCAGACTTTCCTGAAGGGGGTTTTCGAATCCAGGGACGGGGCGGACTGGTGTCGGGAAGCTCAGCCCCTTCCCGGACCAGAGGACTGGCGGGACCAACCAGCGGGCGGGCGGCTTGGGGGACGGGCCTGGGGGGACCCTCTTCTTCCGGCAATTACCCGCCCTGGGCAAGAAAGTTGGAAAACCCAAACACTCCGGGAGAAGCCTCTTCTCTGTGACGCACCCCTCCCCAAACAGCCGGCGTGCTCCCAGGCAGAAGGCAGGCCGCCCCCAACACACCCGGGCACTGAGGGCACCCCCGGTCGGAGGTCGGTCGCTGCACACCCAGCCCCGCCAGGAGCCGCCCCCAGCCCACCCCAGGGGCCCCACATGCTCCGGAGGTCGCGGGAGCCGCGCGGTGGCCGTGAAATGGTGGCGCCGCTCGGGTGCCTTGATCCTCTGCAGCCTTCTCCGGGTTCCTGGGAGCCGCGCGCCGCGCAGCAGCCCCCCGGCTTTCGCGCCCGCGCCTCCTGGCCTCGGCCTCCCCGTTGCGCCCACCCAGCGGGCCCCGGGGGGCTCTCTGGCCGCCCTCGCGAGCCCCACTCCCGCTCGGCTTGGGCTTTTTCTCCTCTGTGGACGCTCAGCCAAGGCATTGCGCAAGCTTCCGGCTCTCTGTCCCTCAAGGGCCCGGAGCTGGGGGCCGGGCCGCGCGCCCCTGGCCCGCCGTGCAGGCCGCCGTGCCCGGGCCAGGGCCCCTCGCTCGGCCCCGACCCGACGAGCTCGCGGCCTTCGGAGGCCGCGTGGGGCGCAGCAGCTCCCCCAGCCGGACACTGGAGCCGCACGCTGGAACGCGCCGTCTGGCCGCCGGAGGTGCTAAACTTCACACCGCGCGGCCCGAGGGTCTCGGCTCGGACCAGAGAGCACCGACGCCTGGAGAAGGCGCGGGCCTGCCCAGCTCCGGCCCTCGTCTCTCGGCCCTGTCCGCTCCCTCGCTGGAGAGCCCTTCCGGGACTCCCACCAAGCCCCCTCGGGCGGCCTGCGCACCGTGTCCTCTCTCGGTCTTCCGCCCTACTTGGCCCTGGGGCGCCTGTAAAACCAGACCTGCGTCTGCCGGCCGGCCAGCGCAAAAGCAGAGCCGTCTAGGACGCGGGTGGGGCCCGCTCGGAGCCCGTCCCGGAGAGGCTCTGGGGCGCGGGGCCCCGGGGACAGAAGGGTCCCCGGCCTCCCTCGAGCTCTGGTCGCACCCAGTCCTCCGCCTTCTCCGCCGTCCTAAACGCCCACGTTTTTGGGGGGGCCCAGCGGCGGGCTCGTCGGGTGGGGGCTCGAGCGGCCCCCCGCCCCAATCCCGCCCTCTGCCGGTGCTGTCCGATCCACGCGTGACACAACTCGGGCTCAGCCGTAGAGTATACAGAAAGACCGCGTGGCCCCCGGCAGGGGTCCCCGGCACGTGAGCCGGGCCGGGGTGTGTGTGGCAGAGGGGCGAGGGGCGACGGCCCGGGGCGCGGGGTCGCCGCCGAGGTGGCCACCGGGCCGCGCGCCCCAGGCCCCGCCAGGCCCGGGCCGGCGCACCTCTCCGGCCCTGCGCCCGGCGCCCGGTGCCCGCTCCGGCTCGCGTCTCCCAGGCTCGCAGATCCCTCCCCCTGCACCTCCCGACCCTCCCCCTCCGCCCCCAGCCCTGGCTGCCTCCCCGCCGCCCGCGGCCTCCGGTAGGCCCGGCTGCGCCAATCGGCGGCGCGGCCCGCCCCCTGACGCCGCGCCGGGCCCGGCCAGGCCCCGCCCGCCGACGTCCGGGATTTGCATGAGTTCTTGTGCAGCCGCGGCCCGGGCTCAGTTGTCTGAGCGAGCGCGAGCTGGGAGCCGGCGCGGGCGCGGGCAGCGGCGGGCAGCGGCGGGCCGGCCGGGCCGTGCAGGGCGATCGGCGGCGGCGCGGGCCGCGCCTGGGCCGGGGCGGCAGCCGGGCGCCGGCGGGAGCCAGCAGCGTGTGCAGCCGCGCCAGCCGCCCGCGCCCCGGCGCGCTCCGGCTCGGCCATGGAGCTGCCAGCTGTTGGCGAGCACGTCTTCGCGGTGGAGAGCATCGAGAAGAAGCGGATCCGCAAGGTGGGGCGGCGCGGGGGCGGCGCGGGAGCGGGAGCGGGGCCCGGCGGCCGGCGCTGGCGGCGCGGAGGGGGTGGGGAGGCTGCGGGCCGGGGATCCCGCGGAAGCTGACGGAGTGCGGTCTCTCCCCGCAGGGCAGAGTGGAGTATCTGGTGAAATGGAGAGGCTGGTCCCCCAAGTAAGTGGCTGCGGGGGTGGGGGGCGGGGGTGCGGGACCCGCAGCGCCGGGGGGCGGGGGGAGCGCGCGGGAGGCGGGGTGGAGGTGGGGTGGAGGGAGGAGGGGGTGGGGAAGCCGGTGGCAGGCACTGGGGAGCCGCGCCGCCGAGCCGAGCCCGGCGCCCTGGGTTGTGCTCCGCTCTTCGGGAAATGCCATCACTAATTTATGCGCTAAAAGGGGCCGGAGGAGCGCAGAGCCGCGGGGCGAGCCGGGGAGGCCGGCGGAGGGAGGGAGGGCGCAGGCACGGACTGCTGTGCGGCAGAAAATGGCTCCTTTCCCTTTCCCTCCACCGAACGGCTCCATATTGCAAAACCAAAAAAAAAAAAAAAAATTAAAAAGCGACGAAAATGCAATTGTGTGTCTCCTCCCTGCTGGTGCTGCAGGGACAGGAGGGGAAAGGCAGAACGCGTTGGGGACTGTCACTGCGGCGCTTTTGGTGGAGATTTTTTTTTAATTTGAAATGCGAAGGCACCGGATGGAGACACGCAGGCACACGCACAGACACACACGCGCGCGCGTGCGCGCGCCTACAGGGGAAGAGGCACATTTTTGTGTAGCTGAGTATTTGGGGGGGTGTCTGCGTGGCCGTGACAGCGGGGTGCGAGGGGGGCGGGCCGTCCGTGATCGGATTAGGGGTCAGATGGAGAGAGGGGGAGCCCCCTCGGAGCAGGGGCTGACGGAGCAGCAGGGGAACTGCGACTTTGCCCGCAGATCTGCTGGCGAGCAGCAAGGCTTGGGAACATGTCGTAGTAACAGGCTTAAAATTCTTGACAACTGCAAAATGAACTGCTAGTTTCATTTTTCCGTCACCCGCCCCCCCATCTTCCTGCCCTTGCTTGTTTATTTTGGCTTGGGGAGGGGGTGCATCGGGGCTGTGTCCGGCCTGCAGGCTTGTTGGATCGTCCACCCTGCACATCCACAGCCAGATCGCTTTCGGTTCCAGCAGGCAGAGCAGGGCCTGGCCGCGGCCCTCCCGGAGGCCGCCGAGCTGGCGCGCGGGGGGGTTCACGCCGTGTCCTCTCTTTTCCCTTGCAAGATATAACACGTGGGAACCCGAGGAGAACATCTTGGACCCGCGGCTGCTGATCGCCTTCCAAAACAGGTGAGCGTCCCTCCGCAGTGGGCGCCGCCGCAGCGGCCCTGGGGACCGGAGCGGGCGGCGGGCGGCGGGCGCGCACCCCCAGCCCCGGGCCCCGCGCGCGCCAGCAGGCTGCGGCCTCGGCTGCTCCTCCCGCGTCCTTGGCGGTGGGGGCGGGGCGCGGCCCGGGAAGGCCAGGCGGGTGTTTTGGGGGAGCTGCGGGAAAGACGCGTGTGGGTGGCCCTGCAGCTGCCGGGGAGAGTTCGGGGGCTGCGCCTAGCTCTCGCCGCCCGCCCCCACCCCCTGCTGCGCGGCCGTGGAGCCCCACCCCCGGCCTAGGTGTTGCTTTCCGGAGCCACCGGCTTGGCACCGGTACCTCGCGGGGCAGCTCGGAGGGAGCTGGCATTGTGAAACCGGCGGGACGTCACAGAACTGAACTTAACCTGTTATGGGCTGGAGAGAAGTTGGCAAGGCCTGCAGCGCCCACCTCACGCGCAGCCCAGGGAGTCCGGCACCCCTCCTGCCCCTCCCATCTGGGCCATCTCGGGGGAGGGGACAGAGTGCGGGGGCCCCGGGGTGGAGGGGTGGCCTCCTCCGAGGGACGAGGTGCGCACGAATCCTTGTCACGCCGCAGCTGCTGCAGCTGGATCGGCCGCCCGTGGCTGCGCTGCTGGAAGGGGGAAGGGCGCGCCCTGGGCGCTCGGCCACCCGCGGCCTTGCATCCCTCCCCGCCCCCCTCTATTTTGCGTTATTTCCTGTGGCGCGTTTGGCGCTCAGACTGTAAACTCTGGAGTCCTCGGGGCCGGCGGCGGGGAAGTGGCTCTCCCGCGACGCAGCGGGGCGCCGGGCGGGGAGCCCGCTGCGACTCCACCTGGGAGGTCCCCACCGTGCAACCATGTCGAAGGCTGATGCCATGTTGCATAATGGGTCCCTGGAGAATTAAAAACGCAGGCTGTTGCAATGCCACGCAACTTCGCAGTCAGGCCGCGGCCCAGCCTCGGGGCCTGGTGGGGCTCCCCTGAGCTGGCCCCGGGGCGGCGGGGAGCCCTGGGAGTGGCGTCTGGGGGAGGAGGGAGGCCAGTCTGGACTGGTGAGCGGGCTGCAGCTTTGGCGAGCTCCGGAGAGGTGGAGGGTTGCGCAGGGCCTGGGGGTCGCTCGCCTCGCGTGATGCCGGCCGCTCCCCGGCTGGCGGCTGCGGGGGTCTGCGCCCTCACGCACACACTTGATGAATAATTGGGGAACCTGGGCGGATCCGGAGCTTCTCCGTGCCGCCCCCGCCCCGCCCACCTGCTCGCTGGGGCCGGGCCCGAGCCGGTTCACCAGGTGCCTGGGAGCCCGGCCCCAGCCCCCAGCCCCTAATTGGCTCATTTGCCGCTGTGTAAACAAGGGCACAGCCCCTCCCCCTGCTCAGTGCCCGGCCTGTAGGATCCGCGCGCCCTGCCCGCTGCCGGCCGCACTCGTTATCAGAATCTTAATGAGGTCGTTAGCATCCCCGGTTTCTGAGGGGAGGGACCAGGCCGCTTGCACCTCCTCGGCCCGCAGCACCGGTCCAGGTCCGACCACCCGGTCCCCAAGCGCCAACCTCCGGTCACCTGGGGTAGAAGGGAGTCCATGTCCGCGACTGGAACCCCCCACCCCCCGGGCTGATGCGAATTGGCGCTGGGGTGGGCCAAGGGGTGGGGGTGAAGAGGGCAGGTGCCCGGAGACTGACGCCAGGGCCCGTGTGCGCCCTCCCCCAGGGAACGGCAGGAGCAGCTCATGGGCTACCGGAAGAGAGGCCCGAAGCCCAAGCCGTTGGTGGTACAGGTGAGCCCTGGGGGCACCCAGGGTGGGGAGGGGGTCCCCAGCACTCGTCCACCAGAACCTCTCCAAGATGGGGGAGATGGGGGGTCGGCTCCCCCAGCCCTTGCCTGCATGCTGCGGGCCGGCCTCCCGCCCCCTCTCATGCCCAACGCCGCCCCCTCCAGGTCCCCACCTTCGCCCGCCGCTCCAACGTGCTGACCGGCCTGCAGGACTCCTCCGCGGACAACCGCGCCAAGCTGGAGCTGGGCGCGCAGGGCAAGGGCCAGGGGCACCAGTACGAGCTCAACAGCAAAAAGCACCACCCGTACCAGCCGCATAGCAAGGAGCGGGCGGGCAAGCCGCCGCCGCCGGGCAAGGGCAGCAAGTACTACTACCAGCTCAACAGCAAGAAGCACCACCCCTACCAGCCGGACCCCAAAATGTACGACCTGCAGTACCAGGGCGGCCACAAGGAGGCGCCCAGCCCCGCCTGCCCGGACCTGGGCGCCAAGAGCCACGCGCAGGACAAGTGGGCGCACGGCGCGGGTGCCAAGGGCTACCTGGGGGCCGTGAAGCCCCTGGCCGGCGGCGCCGCGGGCAAAGGCGCGGAGAAGGGGCCCCCCAACGGGCTGGCGCCGGCCCCCAAGGACGGGGTCGCGGGCAACGGCATCGGGGGCAAGATGAAGATCGTCAAGAACAAGAACAAGAACGGGCGCATCGTGATCGTCATGAGCAAGTACATGGAGAACGGCATGCAGGCGGCCAAGATCAAGTCGGGCGAGGCGGCCGAGGCCGGCGCGCGCTCCCCGGGCCACAAGAAGCGCGCCGCCGCCGCCGTGGCCGCCGAGGACCGCCACCCGCCCGCCGCCGACAGGACCTTCAAAAAGGCCGCCGTCCCCGAGGACAAGAAGGCGGAGGCGCCCTGCAAGAGGCGGGCCGGCGACGAGGAGGCGGCCGCTGCGGCGGTGGCCGCGCCCGAGCCCGGCAACCCGCAGGCCCAGGACGCCGCCGGCCCCCGCAAGCTGTCCCCCGGCAAGGAGGCCTTCGGGGAGCAGCCCCTGCAGCTCACCACCAAGCCCGACCTGCTGGCCTGGGACCCGGCGCGCGGGGCGCACCCGGCGCCACACCACCCGCACCACCATCACCATCACCACCACCACCACCACCACCACCACGCCGTGGGCCTCAACCTGGCGCACGCGCGCAAGCGCTGCCTCTCCGAGACCCACGGCGAGCGCGAGCCTGGCAAGAAGCGGCTCACGGCGCGCAGCATCAGCACCCCCACGTGCCTCGGGGGCAGCCCCGGCGCCGAGCGCCCGGACGCGCCGCCCGCCGTCTCCGCCGCCGCCGCCCTCCCGCAGCCCGAGGTCATCCTGCTGGACTCGGACCTGGATGAGCCCATTGACTTGCGCTGCGTCAAGACGCGCGGCGAAGCCGGGGAGCCCCCCAACCCCTTGCTGGTAAAGCCCGAAGCGCCGGCGCCCGCGCCGGCCCCCGCGGCCCAGAGGCCTCCGGCCGGCGCCCTGGACGAGCCCGCGGAGGCGCTGAGCGAGTTCAAACCCTTTTTTGGGAATATAATTATCACCGACGTCACCGCGAACTGCCTCACCGTCACCTTTAAGGAGTACGTGACGGTGTAGCCGGGAAGGAGGCGCCGCGCCCCGGGCAGGGGCGGCTTGCCGGCTCCGACCGCCCCGACCCCGGCCCGCCTCCCGCGCTGGGGCGTCGCCGGGCCCCGCTCCGCCTCCTTCGCCTTCCACTCGGTGCCTGCGGGACTCGGCCGCGGACTGGGCGCGCGGGCCGGGCGCAGAGGTCTAGTATTATATTTTAACCGTGCTAACGTGTCCAGTGCTGACCCCTGCCCGTTTGTACGTGGTGTTATTATGGAAACGTTTTGTTTGAGCTCAGAAAGCCCGACCCCCTCCCTCCTTAGGGCCGAGAAATATAAATATATATATATATTTATTTGTAGGTATTTATATATGGAAATATAAAAGCCTAGATTTATGGAGTCTCCTCTAGATCACGTTATATTCTATATCAGACTATTTTCTGTTCGGCCTTTCTCGCCCTCCGTTCAGTATTTCGGTAGATTCCAACCCTTCGCCCGGTGCAGGAAATGCACTACCGGTAACCTTGGTATATATTTTTTGATACCGTACACATCCATGTGGTGTTTCTATGTGCAAAAAGATTTAAAAAAAAAAAACTTTTGTTAAGAGGTTAAAGGAGCTCTGTAGAAACAGCTGCTACTAGAAAAAAATGTCTAAAACTATAAGCTTCCACTTATTACCTGCTTGAATGTAAATATTAAATGGAGATGTTGAAGGTGCATTTTCGCCCTTGGAGATGGACGTTGGGGTTGGGGAGGCTGCCAGGCCCTCTTCTCTCTCCCCCAAGTCACTCCCGTATCCACGCCGGGACGAAATCTGCTGGTAGCCGGGGCGTACACGGGAGGGCGACCCCATTCCGGGGGTCGGCTCTGAGCTGAACCGGGACATTCCTGCAGGTCCCAGGGCTGAGTGGCCGGTGCGCGGTGCCCACGGCTTTGGCCAGAAGTCCGACCAGCCCGGGGGAGCAGGGGGCGCGCGGTGAGCCGCGCGGAGCTGGGCGGGGCAGCGGCCTTGACCTTCGTCCTGCGCCCCCATCACCCCGCCCCCGGCGCGCCACACCCCCAGGCGCAGGCCCTGGCCGGGTGAGGAAGTTCCCAGCTCGTAATCCCCGCCTGGTAGGGCAGGTTCCGCGGGCAGGGGACCTCCACCCACCCCCTCGGCTCTCGCACGGGCGTCCCTCGCTGGCATCCCCGGCCGCCCGCCCCGCGGAGGAAGCCACCGAGGCTCTCTGTGCCAGGCGCTCTCCCCGGAAACCACCAGGCCGGAGGCCCCGAGCGACCCGAGGCGCTGGGAGCGCGGCCCGGCTGGGGAGGGCGGCGGGGGCAGGTGGTGGGAGCTTCCTGCGAGATGAGCCGGGAGGAGGTGCTGGCTGGCGAGCAAAGCCCTGCACCCTCGCGTCCTTAGGGGTCGGCGGGCTGGCATGCCGCGTCTGCCTCTTAGGGTTGCAAGGTCGTGGCTCTGGGAGTTGCGGGCGAGGAAGGGGTTAAGGGTTCGGGGAGGGGGGCCCCAGCTCCGGGGTTCGGCCTGGGTTGCGACGGGGTGGCGGGGCCAGCTTTCTGTGGACACAACGGCCGGGGTGGGTGGCCCGGGGGTCTGCGGTGCGGCACACGCGCGCGCGCGCACACACACACCCACCCGCTTCCCCGGACCTAGGGCCCACGCAGGGGCTGGTGGGCGGGGGCCTGGGCGGAAGAGGTCTCGGCGGTTCGGGGTAGTGGAGAGGTGACCGGGGCGCCCGGGAAGAGCCGGAGCCCGGGAGGGCGGCGCCGGAGGGCGCTCGGAGTGGACAGTGTTGGCTGCAGGCCACGGGTGCTGCCGGTGGGGGAGGGGAGCGCGGCCAGAGAGGGGAGGCGGGCAAGGAAGTTCTTAAAAAAAAAAAAAAAAAAGAAAAGAAAAAAGAAAACAACAAGGATTGAGAGTATCTAGCCTTGCGTCCCCCCCCCATCACCCCAGCCCCCTTCCTGAGTGCAACACGCCCCGCCCCCTTGGTGTCTGAACGGCCCGCCCAGCCCTACTAGGGTGTACTTGCCGCTGCTGCGCGGCCTCCTGCTGGGCCCTAGAACCAGGCCTGTCCTTCATCGCCTGGCACACAGCGCCCTGCCAGGTGGACACGGGACTCCCATGCCCCTGGGGGTGGGAAGGGAGCCCCTTCTTCAGGCCTGGGCTGGCGTGTGGCATGCCCCCGATCAGGGAGATGGTTCCACTGCCAAGCCTGCAGAGGGTGGCCCTGTGCAGGTGGGGCAGGCCTGGAGGCAGGGCCTTTGGACACTGGCTGGCAGGAGGGTCAGTCCTGGACACAGAGGGAAGACAGCCAAGCAGAGGCCCCGGGGTGCTGGATGCCCAGCATGGTGTCCCCTGAGGGCTAAGGGCGTGCCAGGGGCTCCTTGAGTGGGCCTCTGCGACACTGGAGCCCCCGGGGGAATCTCCTGGGCACACAGCTTGTCTGGGGTCCAGGGTTCCATGGCTGGCCTTGCAAGGAGTCAGGCCCCTGTGGCTCCTCCCTGGGCCTGGCTCACACGGGCCTTTGAAGGAACCAAGGCTGGGAGTGAGGGACCCTGTGGGGATACGGGGCTGTGGATGGGGACAGGCCAGCTCTGCAGGGTGGCCTGCTGGAACCACACCCTTTGGCCCTTCACCTGCGACGGGAGCTGGTTCTTCATGCCCAGCTCTTCATGCTGCATACCAGCAAAGCCAGGCTGCTGCTGGTGAACTCTGCTCCTGGGGCGGGGGGAATGGAGCTCACCCAGACTGGGGGGTCCGTCCCCCAGAAGGCAAGCCACCACCACCCACCACCGCTTGTCCGAATAGCCAATCTCAGTCATCCAGTGTCTGCTATGACCCAGGGTGCCCAGGGCCAAAGCCACAGACCCCCCAGTTAACTTAGAATCCCCGAGGTACACTACATAAGTGTGTGGGTGAAGCATCTGAAACATACTGCTACTGTTTCAAAGATGCAGAGAACTCCACCATCCACTGCTTTGTTCTCCCAAATGGCTGTGAGAGCCGAGGCTGAACCAGACGGAACCCAGGAGCCTGCAGCTCCATCCATGTGATGGCAGGAACCAGCCACTTAGGCACGGGCTGCAATGTCCCAGGAGGTGGCTTGTCCCACCGTGTCACACCCGCCAATGTATCTGCTCGTTAAAAAGGGTGCATTGATCTACGGCCACACCACCCTGAAGGCGCCCGATCTCGGCTGATCTTGGAAGCTAAGCAGGGTCGGACCTGGCCAGTACTTGGATGGGAGGAAGGGTGCATTGTGGGAGCAAGCCATCCCTGTGCCCCACATGAGAGCCCGTGGGTTGGAGTACCAGCTGGGGCAGTAGGGCCAGTCAGTCACATGGACACCCGCCCTGGGTCCCCTGCTTCTGGCCCAGCCATTGCAGTTGACTTTGTGTGTGTCTCAAATGAGAAGGCGAGAGAGAGGGACCCGTGGGTCCCAGTATGCTTGCATTTGGCTTGGAACCTGCCTTTTGTGCCTGCACATTCTCTTGGGTCAGTGTGGCCAGCCCCACTCCACCCCCAAGGAGGGAGAGTGCCTGGCAGTGTGGCCCTTACCTGGGAGCCAAGCTCAGGTGGGCGGGGGGTCTCTGGGAGAACTGGGCCTTTGATGCTCCATGGACTTCTGAGCTGTGGCTTCCCCCACTCCCACCAGCCTGGAACCTGGGGCACACAGCAGGGACAGGGCAGGGCCAGCATGGAGCCCACCCTCCTGGGCAGTCCCCTTGGTAGACCCCATCCTGCCAGTGAAGGCAGACCAGTGCCCTGGGCACTTCCGGAAGCCTCCCTAAACACTCACGGGGCCTTCTTCCACCAGGGGATGTCAAGTGTGCTGTGCCAGTACCCTCTGCCCGCCTTGCCCTGGCTGCATCGGGCCCTGCCGTGGACCTGGGTCCTCCAGTGTGCCTCAGAGGACCACACTGGGACAGTGTGCTCTCACCGTGAGCAGCCCCTGGCCCCGGCTGCCTGCTGCAGCCGAGCAGGAAGTTGTCCTGAGGCCCATCTGTCTGGACACAAGCATCTTTTTCCCACGGCTGGTTCCCTGAGCGCCCACCCCTCCCCTGCCCCATGGTGGCGGGCCATTGCATCTTCTGGTGATAGCCGGTGCTGACTGCTCCACGTCACCTCCCCCCGGGACACCTCCGGGAGCTGGAGACCTCCAGGAAGCTGCCCCGGATCTGCCTGAGCATGGTGGCCGGCGGACATCCTCCAGGGCCCGGCCGTCAGAAGCTGGCTCAGTCTCCATTCTCCCTGAAGTTGTTCTGGATGATTCCGGGCTTCCCAGGGCCTGCTCTGGGCAGCCTAACGTGCTCATGTTCTCGGCCCCCACTCTGTCCGTCACTCCTGAGCCAGCTGCTGGCTGTAGCGTGCACGCATGTCAGCCAGGCACGGCCCTCCCACCTCTGCCCAGGCACACATATGTGTACACAGGGGAAGGAGGCCTTGGCACCGGCCGGCCGGTCCTGCACAGCAGGCCCTTCTCGTGGGCCACACACGGAGGACCTAGCAAGGGGTAGGCACCTGCACTTCCCACACCAAAGGTGGGGTGCTGCCCACACCCCCCCCCCGCGCTCCCACCTGAAGCACCTGGAAAGATTTCCAGAGACTCCAGCTAATTCCGTAGATATAGAAGTGGGGGGGCCGATCCTAAGGATAATCCTGCGGGGAATTCCAGGAAACCTTCATTTCCGCATTTGGCTGAGGGGTACCTGTGTGCGCGCCGCACCTCCCCCCGCAGTGCCAGGCTCACCAGCAGCTCAGAATGGCAGAGCGGGTCCTCGCCGAGCTGTGTGGCATGGGCGAAGCCACACACGTGGTCAGAGCGCCTCCGACTTGGCTCTGCTCAGTATGTGCTTCTCCGCGAGTTTTCCAGTAGTCTCCACTGGCCAATGGGGTATCCGTGATCACGCATGTGTGCCTGCCTGCCTGTACCTGAGTGGCAGCGTGCACCCACAGCCGTGGGACGCAGGGCCCTCTGGCCACAGCTAGCATCTCATCCTGCCAACAACTGGCCCTGCGTCCTTTCAACCTGCGCCAGGTATCATGTAAACCTCCCAGGATTTCCTCCCTTTCCTGTTTCATCCGAAAAATTCTTGGCTAATTCCACGGTGTCTGGTTTCTCATTGTGTCTCCACTCTCGGCAGCCTCTCAGGAGGTGGCTTTGGGAAACCACATCTCAGCCTCTTCTTGGTCGTCCAAAACGACACCGGCTCAGTGCTCACTCACACTGCCAGGAGAGGAGCAGAGCCCTCACCACCCGGCGTGCGAAAAAGGTCAGGGGTCAGGAGGTGGCCTCGGCCGCTGGGTTAGCCCCCAGGTCCCTTAAGGTAACAGCATGAGTGTCGTCCACCCCACCCCCCGTTCTTGACCAGAATAGGCACAGTCGGAGTGGGGGGCGCAAAAGGCCAGCCCTCCCCCGCCATGTGCCTTGGGGGAGGTAGGCTGGCACAAGCACGCAGTGCAGGGGGTGCGCCAGCAGGACCCCCGCCCCGTTCTGTGAGCAGCGGCTGCAGCCCTGATGGCGGCTTCCTGTCCACTGGGCCCCGAGTCTCCAGCCTGGGAGAGAGGTCAGGCCAGCGCGCTCCTCCCGGCCTCAGCCCCGCAAGTAGCTTCCCTCTGTCTCCCCTCCTGGCGCTGGGAATTATTTATGTTTGCAAATTGCTTTTGACTCACATGAGTTATTCCTCTGGCCTGCCAACAGGTCTGGGGACGGGAGAAAGCTGCTGAGCCCGCGAGCGAGCCAAGAGACCCGAGGGAGCCGGAGGAGGGAGCAGCGGGGTGGAAGCGAGTGCCTTGGGAAGGGGGTCCCCG